ATCAAGGATCCAAAACCAATCCCTGGAGTAAGGACAGTCTATTCAATAAATGGTGCTGGGAAAATTGGAAGTCCACGTGCAGAATCATGAAGCAAGACCCCTACCTTTCACCTTACACAAAAATTCACTCAACATGGATCAAAGACTTAAATCTACGACCCGACACCATCAAATTATTAGAGAGCATTGGAAAAACCCTGCAAGATATAGGTACCAGCAAAGACTTCTTGGAAAAGACCCCAGAAGCACAGGCAGTCAAAGCCAAAATTAACATTTGGGATTGCATCAAATTGAGAAGTTTCTGTTCTTCAAAAGAAACAGTCAGAAAAGTGAAGAGGCAACCAACAGAATGGGAAAAAATGTTCACAAACCATGTAACAGATAAAGGGTTGATAACCAGAATCTACAAAAAATCAAGAAACTCCACAACATCAAAACAAACAACCCACTAAAGAGATGGGCCAAGGACCTCAATAGACATTTTTCAAAAGAGGAAATCCAAAGGGCTAACATACACATGGAAAAATGTTCAAGATCACTAGCAATCAGGGAAATGCAAATCAAAACCACAATGAGGTTTCACCTCACCCCGGTTAGAATGGCTCACATTCAGAAATCTACCAACAATAGATGCTGGAGAGGATGTGGGGGAAAAGGGACACTAACCCACTGTTGGTGGGAATGCAAACTGATTAAGCCACTATGGAAGTCAGTCTGGAGATTCCTCAGAAACCTGAATATAACCCTACCATTCAACCCAGCCATCCCATTCCTTGCAATATACCCATAGGAAATTAAATTGGCAAACAAAAAGCTGTCTGCACCTTAATGTTTATTGCAGCTCAATTCACAATAGCTAAGACCTGGAGTCATCCTAAATGTCCATCAACAGTAGATTGGATAAAGAAATTATGGGACATGTACCCTGTAGAATACTATACAGCAGTCAAAAACAACGAAACCCAGTCATTTGCAATAAGATGGAGGAATCTGGAAAACATGATGCTGAGTGAAATAAGCCAGTCCCAAAGGGACAAATATCATATGTTCTCCCTGATCAATGGCAACTAACTGTGCACCTAAAAGGAAACATGTTGAAGTGAAGTAGACATTATGAGAAACAATGACTTGATAAGCCCTTGTTCTGACTGTCAAGGAACAACTTACTACTTTATTCCTTTTAGTATTTTTTTGTTTTCCTTAATACTATTGTTTGAACTGTGTAATTAACACAAAATTATTCTTAGGTGTTTAAATTTTAACTGAAAAGTGATCCCTGTTAGGAATTTGAAAAACATTATGCTGGGTGAAATAAGCCAGTCCCAAACGGACAAATATCATATGCCCTCCCTGATCAGTGACAACTAACCGAGTGCCAGAAAGGAAACCTGTTGAAGTGAAACGAACACTGTGCAAAACAGTGACTTGATCAGCCCTTGCCCTTACTGTTGATGAGCAACTTAATACATTATCCCTCTTAGTATTTTTGTTTGTTTGTTCTATTAATACTTGTGGTTGAATACTGTAATCAATACACAGTTATTCTTAAGTGTTGAAACTTAACTGAAAAGTGATCCCTGTTAAATATAAGAGTGGGAATAACAGAGGTAGAGATGTGAAATTTGGGACATGCTGAAGCTGACTTGCCCCAAACAGTAGAGTAAGAATCATACCAGGGGATTCCAATTCAATCCCATCAAGGTGGCATGTACCAATGCCATCTCACTAGTCAAAGTGATCAATTTCTGCTCACAATTGATCATAATGATAGGACTAAGAGCCAAAGGGATCACATAAACAAGACTAGTGTCTGCAAATGCTAACTGATAGAATAAAAAAGGGAGAGAAAGATCCAACATGGGAAGCGAGATACACAGCAGACTCATAGAATGGCAGATGTCCTAAACAGCACTCTGGCCTCAGAATCAGCCCTTAAGGCATTCGGATATGGCTGAAGAGCCCATGAGAGCATTTCAGGCATGGAAAGCCAAGACACTCTGGAAAAAAAATGACCTAAATGAAAGATCTCTGTGAGTGAGATCCCAGTGGAAAGAACAGGTCATCAGAGAAGGAGGTACCTTTCTCTGAAGGGAGGAGAGAACTTCCACTCTGACTATGACCTTGCCTAAATATGATCAGAGTCAGTGAACTCAAAAGGCTTCCATAGCCTTGGCAACTCATGACAAGAGCCTAGGGTGATTACTGATGCCATAAACAAGAGTGTCCATTTGTTAAGTCAACAACAGGAGTCACTGTGCACTTATTCCTCATGTAGGATCTCTGTCCTTAATGTGTTGTACATTGTGATTTAATGCTATAACTAGTACTCAAAGAGTATTTTTCACTTTGTGTTTCTATGCGGGTGCAAACTGTTGAAATCTTTACTTAATATATGCCAAACTGATCTTTTGTATATAAAGAGAATTGAAAATGAATCTTCATGTGAATGGAAGGGGAGAGAGAGCGGGAAAGGGGAGGGTTGCGGGTGGGAGGGAAGTTATGGAAGTTATGGAGGGGAAGCCATTGTAATCCATAAGCTGTACTTTGAAAATTTATATTCATACAATAAAAGTTAAAAAAAAGATTAACCTCTGAATTTAACATGCACATATTAGATTTTCACTGCAATTTTAATCTATAGCTGGGCCTGGTTTATGCATTGTCATATGCTAATCTATGTAATATAGCCAGATTGTATACTCAGATTTTGTTGTGTATTTATAAATTAGCAGCCATGAACAAATCGCATAATCATTTTTCAAGTACAGAAAAGGTTGACGTGAGATCGGTATGGAAGAATTTTAAGTAAGTTATTAAAATAGTTTATCTTCTTTTAAATTGGTAAAAATGCTTTAAAATTACAGTAACAATATTCTTTATATCTGTATATTTTGAAGCTTTTCTCTGAATTTCAAAATGTTTTAGTTGCCAATTTGTAGTTAATTTGCAAAAACATATTTTTTGTTAAAAGTAATAATACAATATTGATAATTGTGACAGTAGGAAAAAACAAGTAGATAAGAGTAGATAAGCATTCACTTGTATGAACTTGAAATGGATGATTTTATTTTGTTCAGCTTACTTCATGTCTTGATTATAAGAAATTTGTAGTTATTGGTAAATGAAACTTTGTGTTTCACAAGTTGTTTGAACCTTTTTGTTTTCCATGTGATAAACATAAGTTACATACAGAAGGTACATTAGATTATAGAAGAAGAACCGTTATCTTTGACACTGATTTTGTCATTAATGGACTGTGTGATCCTGGGCAAACCATTCTCTGTTTTATGCTCTTTGAGACATAATACTTTTAAAATTGAGTACCTGAACTTTTTGCTAACTACCATGGATTCTTTGGAATGAAATAAAAACTATATTGGTTAAATAAAATAATGTTGAAATAATAATCATTCTGCATACCTTAAGGAATCAAATCTTTTTTTAACTTTTATTTAATGAATATAAATTTCCAAAGTACAGCTTATGGATTACAATGGCTTCCCCCCCCATAACGTCCCTCCCACCTGCAACCCTCCCCTTTCCCACTCCGTCTCCCCTTCCATTCACATCAAGATTCATTTTCGTTTCTCTTTATATACAGAAGATCAGTTTGGCATACATTAAGTAAAGATTTCAACAGTTTGCTCCCACACAGAAACATAAAGTGAAAAATAATAGATGATTTTTTAAACGATGATGAAATCAGATCAGACCTATTGTCATGTTTAATCCCAGTGAGAGTCAAGTTGGGAATTGATAATTTCTTTTTTTTTTTTTTACTGAAGATCAGTTTAGTATATATTAAGTAAAGATTTCAACAGTTTGCACCCCCATAGAAACACAAAGTGAAATATACTGTTTGAGTACTTGTTATAGCATTAAATCTCAATGTACAGCACATTAAGGACAGAGATCCTACATGAGGAGTAAGTGCACAGTGACTCCTGTTGTTGACTTTACAAACTGACACTCCTGTTTATGGCATCAGTAATCTCCCTATGCTCTAGTCATGAGTTTCCAAGGCTATGGAAGCCTTTTGAGTTCTCCGACTCTTATCTTGTTTAGACAAGGTCACAGTCAAAGTGGAGGTTCTCTCCTCCCTTCAGAGAAAGGTACTTCCTTCTTTGAAGACCTGTTCTTTCCACTGGGATCTCACTCACAGAGATCTTTCATTTAGGTTTTTTTTTTTTTTTTGCCAGAGGGTCTTGGCTTTCCATGCCTGAAATACTCTCATGGGCTTTTCAGCATGATCTGAATGCCTTTAGGGCTGAGGAATCAAATCTTAATCTGTGTTTTCATATGCTAATCCTTATGATTCAAAAGTGAAGCATTACTGTTTATGTTAATATTTAATTTCTGGATTTGAAATACTAACTTAAAGGGAAATAAGCCCACACTCAAATAGTGTGTTTTTAGTACAATCTTTAATCAGTGTTCGATTAAATATATAATAAATATAGATATATTTGGATATTCATATACATATTAGAGGTACATATTTAAATGTTTATAAAATAAGGATGGTGACATTTACATTGTTTTAACACTAAAAATAGAATTAAAAGTACCTGAATTATAAGGAAGATTAGATTTAGACTACATATGAAGAAGATTTTCTTCAAAATAATTATAATTCTGCACTAGATTTGCAAGGAAAGGTTATGAAATGACATGAAGATGTATAAGATAGACGAACTTATGATGGAGAAGGATTACCTATGAACTCCTTTAAACAAATAGGTTGCTAAATGAATACTCACAGATAAGTCAAAACATGAAGAAGATACAAAGAGACTCCTGGCTGACCTACTCAATCCCTCTCCCTCATCTATTCCCTCTTTACCAGTATACCATTGTTATTTGTCATTTAGCTCAAATTTCAAGAATATATGTGCCTTGAGAGCAGGGAGTCTTAATTTCTATTTTCTTGGTATCTAGCATAAATGAAATGCTCAATAAATATGTGCTGATTCATTAATGTAGAAGATTAAATTGCTTACCTTTTCATCATGAGGAGGTTCCAGGAAGGAATTAATGCTGAATATGATAACATGTCCTTCTGTATAAAAATTAAATTAAACATTAGAATCTTTAATGCCATGTTGACCAAATAGGTACTACTCCTAATGTTAAGTAATTTTGAATGAGGTGCTTATATTGATAAATAAAATAGAATCTGTGAAAAAAATGAAAGAAGAATTTTCATACAAACTCTTATAGGTAATAATTTTTTTCTGGGTGAATTAGTTATAATGATTTTGCCTTATCCAGTCATAATGAAAATTCTTCTGGAGATCAGGGTGGATAATAGGACTGAATATAGCACTACCAAATAGAATCCTAACTGTTACAGAGATATTCATCCTACAAACCAAGTGAGGTGCATTTTAAAAAGATACAGAAATGCCATAACTACATCTAGACCTATAGTACCCAAACAAGGATAAAGAAAAAAGTCTTGAAAGAAACCAGACAGAAAGAAAGTTGAGAATTTAATCAAACGACTTCTCAGAAACACTGTTAGCAAGAAAAGTGTGGTATGAAATATTTAATGTGTTGTGAGAATAAAAACCACCAACCTAGAATTCTGTACCCTTCAACAGTGAAGAAGGAATACTTTCTCAGATAAACAAAAATGAGAGAATTTCTCACTAGTAGACCTGTCCTGCAAAAAATATTAAGACAATTTCTTCAAAGAAAAGGAAAATGAGTTAGTCAGAAATTCATATTTACATAAAGAAACAATATTAGACAAAGAATAAGTAAAGTTAAAATGACAAGTATTATCTTTCTTATTATTTACAGATAATAGTTGATACAAAATTATAATAGCAACAATATATTTGATTATTGTAATGCTTGAAATGAATGACAGTGTTATAAAAGTTAGGAGAGAATATTTAGGAATACTTTGGTATTACAAAGTACTTTTAATACTCCTGAAGTGATATTGTGTTATTTGAAAATGGGCATGTGCAAGGACATGGTCTCCTGGTGTCAGTTTCATTTTCCTTTGAAATTTCTGCCTTGCACACAGCAATGACAACCCAAGTACATGTAATTGGCAATGGAAGAAGAGGACATATACTGGCCTGGAAACTTACACAGTCCCATCGTGTTAAACAAGTGTTGGTTGACCCAGGAAATGTAGAACTCCTCCAAGGAGAAGAGGTGTCTTGTCTGTGTTTCACTGAAGGGAGGACTGTGGACCCTATGCCTCCAGGACAGGGACAAGTGATTATTGGAGGGAGATCATGGAGGGAGATCATAGCCCCAACACAGGGGAAAGGAAGCCTATTGTCCAGCACCTCAGGTTTCTAAGGATTTGTTACTAAGAATTAAAAACACTGTTCTTCAGAGGACAGTAGATGTTAGTCCATCTATGCCAGTCTAACTATACCAATGGTCTAAATAGTACCAATGAAAAGACAGAGATTGTCAGAGTAGATCTCAAAATATAACCCAAGCATGTTATCTATAAGAAGTCCACTTTAAATACAGGCACGTATAGATTAAAAGTAAAGGAAAACATCTCTCTCCATCTCTGTCTGTTTCGGCTTCTCTGTAACTCTTGTAAATATATGATAGTACTGAATGAAAGACTCAAACAATTGGTAGTACAATATAGGGTGTTGAGGTTTTTACAAAATAAATTTTGAAAAGAGAAAAATGTTCATAAAAGTTATGATGGAAGTATTAATATACTAGCAGATCTACTCTGGATGTACAGCTCACAAATTACATCAGCAAACAAGTGAAGGGGTACATGTGGAGAAGAGAGAAAATTACAGTGGGCTAAGCTTTCTGCCTTAACTGAAAAGATGCTGATTCATTCAGATTTAAAAAAAAAACCTAAACACTGGTGAAATTAGAAACTGTCTTACACATGTATGTGCACCTGCATGTATATATACACAAAATTTTTAATTCACAATATAGAAGAAGAAAAATAGGAAGAACAAAAAACAGTATTAAATGAAAGAGTTAAGATCAATTATATTAATTATAGCAAAATATACCCCTCCATGAAGAAAAAATTTCCTCTCTAATATTTGTCACCATTCCCTTTAATAATTATTACTATCCCTTTAATAATTATTATTAACTTTCAATGTTCAAAGTTAAAACTCTGTATTCTCAATAAAGTAAGGTATGAGGATGGGTAGCCATGTATTTATATATAAGACAGAAGAGACAGAAAGCCTTGCTCTAAATAAGGAGGTAGGAATGCCAATAGGTTCTCCCAACATTCATGTATTCTATTTATTCAGCAAGCTACCCATGACATTCTCTCCTGGTTAAGCATACATCTTAGATTTTCTCTCGTCTCAATAAAGATTATGTATTTATAACCATTTTATGTCATTTAGGTTGTTACAATGCCTGTGGCTAAATATAAGAGTAACAACTTACCCATATTTCCAGTCAGTAGCATCCTGGCGCATGAATCAGTATACAGTGATGCCAGAGGAATGGCAGAATGTTTTGTGAAAGGTAGCGTATCTTTTATTAGCCTTCCCTAAATAGAGGACAATGCAAATGAAGTTTTTTTGTGTGATAATAAATCTATAAAGCCTTAATACTGAAATTGAATTGCTCTATAAATATTATATCCCAAGAATTATCTCAAGTTCTGAAACATGATTCTCTTCTTTGTAATAAAAATATTTTGCAGCTATCAATAGGGATTGACTCCTGAGATTGAATAATCTAAAGGTATAGATAACTATTAATTATAAACATCTAAACTCTATTATAGATTATACTTCAGATTGCCTTTTGCACATGACTCTTCATATATTTCTTCAGAATACATATTCTTCTCTTAAACATTCTTCTCAGGTTAAAGAGATCTCAGTTGTTTTCAACAATAATATTTGCCTTTTCATAAGCTTCTATCTTGAATATTGGGGCAAGATAAGGGATTGCAAAAGATTCAAATTCATATTTTTTCCCAGCACGTCGTGTAACTCAGCACAAGGAACGACTTTCACATATTTTATCTAGCTTAGGTAGTAATATCAAGTTTGAGAAAAAATATTTTTAATCTTCTCCTCATTTCCTGAGAGTTTATTGTCTCTCTGAAGATTTTATTGTCATCATCCCCAGCCTATTCGAGATACTTTCCTTCATAATCTTATGAATTCCTTATTCAAACTGTGCCCAGCCTCCTCCCCAAGTCAATTTTTCATTGTAAATTGTTTAAGTACATTTAATAAAATCGAATACCATCTTCCAATAATTTAGAGAACTAAAAATATAATGGATCTGGCAAATCTTTAGTATTTTTATCTTTTTCTGCTCTAGTACATCATTAATATCCTTTAATATTATTTAAATATTTGATAAAGTATTTAGTGGCATATATTCACAGCTCAAAAGAAAGATTTGAAATAGCTTAGTTAGCACTTTTGTCAGTTTTTTTCTCTTGAGTTATGAAATTGGCTGAGTGAAAGTTTGAGTAGCATTATTAGTGATGCAGTTTGTGAGGCCAACAAGTTGGCTAGAAGATTGAAAAATATTAGAATTAATGCCATTGGAAGAAGGCTAAGATTCATCTAATTTTCTTTTTAATCTTTTTCATTCTTTCCTATTTCAGAAAATATCAGGCTCTGTCACCTCCATAGTCCACAAGCGGAGGTGTCCATCTTCATGAGCAGTGGCAAGGATGGGTGGCTGAGATTCTATTAAGTTGGCAGCTCCGAAATGTTTTTTGTCCACTGCATGTGTCTCTCTCACTGTAACATCTGTATGTTCACCTATCAGAAAAATTAATGAGGTTTTACAATATTTAGAATTCCAAATTTTATGCGGGGAAAAAATAGCAAAAACACAAACATATTGTTCCTTTATTTTTTTTTAAACACCAGAGAACTTCAAATAGTAAAGAGAAAAAAAATTTTTTCTAATGGCATTCTGGGTCATTTGAAATTTCTAAAAGGCATATTTTTATTATATTATAAAAGCTGCCATATTATACATTATAACTAAGGCCTACATATATCCAGTATGTCTTTCACATCCAGAATGACTTATAAAACAGTATAAGTTTTAGGAAAATGGACTGGAGAGTAAGACTCTCAGTGATATTTGGATTTTTTAACACCCAGAATTAGTATTTAAAAAGGCATCATCAAAATAGAAATGCTACCTTTTGGACAATAGAATCTATAGCATCTCAACACTTTGTTTTAAAAACAGCGTATAAGTATATTCATTAAGAATATTCTATCACCTAAACCCCCATTGCAAAAGAGTTGTTTTATTGTAGAGAGGTGATTTCACACTGACCTTTAACATCACCATCATGTATACTTTGTCTGCTTCCCTGAATTAGGAGAGAAGAAAAATATTTCTGACATTATAATGAGATATACTGGATGACTAGATTCTCATGATGGTTGAATTTGTATTATTTTTAACATTTTTTACAATGTACTCTTTGAAAAAAAGTGTATTGGAGGGATTTTCAGTTTCATAAATAGGGAGTCCATAATAATACTTTCTTAGTGACTCAGAAGTATCATCATAATTAGAATAATTCAATGCCTAACTCATGTCCAGTTCTTGGTGTATATTATCTGTAATTCTATTAACACACAGGCAACTTTTTCTTTTTTATTTCTTTTTATGATGAGGAAACAAACAGATTTAGTGGCATCTTGGAAGCTAATCAGGTAATAAATGGATGACTTGAATTCATGTACAAATCTGTCTGGCTTTTATATCCATAAAATGTTATTCTTCCACCATGCTAGTGGTTTAAAATTATTTTGCTGTGAAAACTTTCCTTGAAACAAAATCTTAACTAGAAATTTAATTTGTAAAAATACACAAAATTAGAACTGAGAGGATAATCTGAAAACTCCACTACATAATGGATTATAATATAACTACATGGCCTGCTATCTTTTCTCCCTGGGAAATAGGATAACAGTTTTTAGCCAAGGCGACAGTTGAAAATTATTTGATGAATATAAAATAAGAGGAATAATTTATTCTCTTTGTGATCATGTATACATGATTCATGGATGTAAAAGCCTTGAAAAAAAATTGAAAATAGTGAAGAAAACAATTTAGACACTAATTTTTAAAGAAAACAAAAAGGTCTTAGGTACATGAGTTTTCTATCCTTACCTTCCACCAAATGAGGGGCTCAGATGCTCAATATCACTAATTTTTAATGTCGATGTATTTATTTATATTTTTTGAAAGGCAGAGTGACAGAGAGAGAGAAAGAGAGAGGGGGAGAGGGAGATCATCCTTCCGTTGATTCACTCTCCTTGTGCCTGCAACAGCCAGGGCTGAGCCAGGCCAAAGCCAAGGGCCAGAAACTCCATCTGTGTCTCCCAAATGGGTGGCAGGGACCTAAGCAGTGGATTACTTAGTGGTTACTTGCTGTCCCTGATGGTGTGTATTAGCAGGAAGCTGGATTAAAAGCAGAGGCAGTACTAATCCCAAGCACTCCAGTATGGGATATAGGCATCCCATGCTGTGGCTTAACTCACAACCCCACAATGTCACTATTTTTGAGCAATCCTTGTGACAGGAAGACACTGTTTCTGTTCTTACCTTACAACTCTGTGGACTCTTGCTAGAGTCACACTGGCTTGAGGAACCAATGGAATCTTGACTTGATCTACAGGGGAAGGAGGAGATCCACAGAGAAGAGTTTACAGTCACACTCAGAGGGTGCTTTTTACTTCAAATTCAGACGACTGCTACCTTCTTCATGGGTGGATTCTGAGCCACTCATAAAACAAATCACATCCTAAATTTTGTGTAGCGAACATTCATCGGTGTAGTATTGAGGAACCTCAGCAATTAAGATTTACTGCTACCTGGGTCTGAAAAATATGGACAAGTCTGGCTTGTTTCACTACCAAGGCAAGATTTAGTCCTGGGGAATCTGACACTCAAAAGGTGGGGATATGTAGATGGGGACTGACAAGGCTGAAAAGCTACTGTAGCACTTAGTTATGGCCTGATCCTGCCTCTGCCATGCTCTGCTTTTTTTTTTTTTTTTTTTTTTTTTTTTTTTTTTTTTGACAGGCAGAGTGGACAGTGATAGAGAGAGACAGAGAGAAAGGTCTTCCTTTTGCCGTTGGTTCACCCTCCAATGGCCACCGCGGCTGGCGCGCTGCGGCCGGTGCACCACGCTGATCCGATGGCAGGAGCCAGGAGCCAGGTGCTTTTCCTGGTCTCCCATGGGGTGCAGGGCCCAAGCACCTGGGCCATCCTCCACTGCACTCCCTGGCCACAGCAGAGAGCTGGCCTGGAAGAGGGGCAACTGGGACAGAATCCGGCGCCCCGAGCGGGACTAGAACCCGGTGTGCCGGCGCTGCTAGGCGGAGGATTAGCCTAGTGAGCCGCGGCGCCGGCCCTATGCTCTGCTTTTAATGGGCTAAGGGACTTAGGATGATGGCATGCGTGTACACATAATGAGTCCTCCAGTGTTCTCAGAATACTTCTGACGAAATTTCCAGCTGACATGTAGGGGAGGTGTTCTATTCCAGCTCACCAATGGGCAATTCCAGACTAGTACAGACCTTTTGCATTTCTCTCCAAAGATGTGTTTAACACTGTGTACTACCTGAAAAATCAGAGTTCTCAAGCAAATATAAATAGAAAAAGTGCTTTTTATTAAGAATTCATTGTTTTAAAAGCATTTAGAAATATTTATTTATGAGACAGAAGCAAGTACTGATCTACTGATTCACTCAATGCCTGTAACAGCTGGCAGTCAGTCCTCTGTTCTCTAAATGAATGGATGGGGCTTGCTCAGTTATAGTGGCTGGTGTTTGAAATCTCCCGTCTGACTTTCTACATTTGCCCCGCAAGTCCTTCCTTTTCCTGGCATCAGTGCTCATAGCATTACATTTTGACCAAAAGTGTGGTCACATGAGCATTTTCCATTTCTGCCACTGTGATAAAATGAGCCGTGAAGCTGCCAGGGTAAAGGGAACCCACAGCCCATTAGATCCCTGATGACCAGCATTTCTACGTACAAATAGTAACAGGAAAGAAAGTCAAATCCAAGAAGTCAACTGAACTCCAGTTGTTTCTTCATTAGTGCAGTCATGAAAAGAACTCTTTTGTCACTCACATAGTCCTAGACAGTATTACTTGATCAGACAGTTTTGAATTACCTTTCACATTCAGGTGTACGAAAGAGGAACAGTATATCATTTATTCTTAAGTGTTTGGGATCCACGTTACTGTCCACAATGAAGGAATCTTCAGGTCGGTACCTTGAAATAAGTACACATTTACATGCTAAACATTCAAAAATTAAGTAATGTTGTATTTACAACATGGATCCCCTGCAGAGTTAATCAGCTTCTAAATTGTTACTGAATATGCAAAGAAAACCCAAAGGTGTAGAATTTGAACATATCCTCTTTAATAAGCCTCTGCTTACTCTTAAGGTGGTCACTTAGTGATTTAAAAGTCTTTTAATTCAGTGAACTGGTTCAGTCTTCCTACCTATAGCTCACAGAGTGAGTTTATTTAATCCTGTGGAGAAATTCCTGGGATGTTTCATACATTTTCGAGAATATAATTCTACTCTTTGAATAAGCAGAGTGAAAATTTTGAATAAAATATAGCTATTACCCTCAAGGAACTTATGATGGAGTAGAGAAGAATAGGGCATTCAGTGAGAGCTGTGCTCTGCCTGATCAAGTCTCCTGTTGACCTGTATTGCAAGGAACCATAAACCTCCCTAGGCAGTTTCTTGAGAAAAAGCAATAGTCTCTAACCACTCACACTGGCACTTCATGCTTGGTTCTTAAAGCCACATTTACCATTCGTTGTAGAAAATTGACCTGAGAGCAAAACACCCCTCTTTTCAGGGAAATTATTTCTGCTAAGTTGAGCTCATGAGTGAAAAAGTAGCCTGGAATGCACCAAGCTCAAAGGAGCAGCCCATAGGCTTGATGACATGTTGCACTCAAACTCCTTGGATTTTCTGTTATACAGATGACCTGAAGAGGGAAGTGAGCTATTAATTGTCAAGCAAATAATAAGTTTGGGACCAAAAATGCACGGGGGTGGAGGGTGTAGATCAGGAAGAGAAGGGTTCCTGACTGGTAATGGGATCTTAGGCAACGTTTCAGGTAGCCATAAGAATGACCTTCATCATGGATATGAAAACCTTTTTCCTATTAGAACCTTTAAAGCTTGTCCCAAATTACCTTAGACAATTTTGTACTAAATTCTATGTTTTTCAGAAATACTCCAGTGATTCTAAATTAATTTTTCTATATAATTAACTGTCTGTGTGAAAGGGATATTCTGTATGACACATTATAGTTACTTACTTTTCTCTGATTCAGTGTTGGATTTGCATGCACCCCTTGGCAAAATGCCTGGCATCCACAATTAGGATCAATACTCATTTTAGGCGATGACACTGATAATAGTCTTTTTAGAATACCTTCTTTCCCTTCTTAGTAATGAGATATAAGAAGCTGAAGCAGTGTAAAGACTGTATTACTAAGTGTGTGAGGAATTGTGCAGTGCAAGTAAATATCAGTATCAAGTGACAGGTGTGGAGTCTGCAAGAAAGGGCTATGGGCAAGAATGGAAGAGAAGTAACAGAAGGATGGTAGGAATTCTAGAAGTAGAGCCCAGGATAATATGGTGGAGGTGCAGAAGGAGGGTCTGCACAAAGAGCTGTTTCAGCTAAAGGCTCAAAAGAACTAAATCCAGAGTCCAAACATGAAAGAATTATTTTCTCTCAAATGTTGGCTGAAAGTAATGACTCAGACATGGATGGGAAAGGCACCTGGAGTAAAAGCAGACTACTGATATATAGGGTACTATAATAGAGAGGCAGAGCTTTCTTCTGTTCCTCCCTCTTCTTTTCCCTTGTCATTTCCAGCTGCCTCTTCTCACCTCCCTTGTACTTCTTCCCATTCCCTAAATGCTAAACTTGATTGTATTTTCATTTATGGGTAAGGTCCTTGGCCATATTTTACCCTGAAGGTAAGTTTTACAGACCATCCTTATGTACTGTGTCCACCTATGGCCCTTGCACCCATCCCAGTTACACAATGGGAGAGGGCTTATTATTTACAGTCCATCCATACAAATAATACAATACTACATTCATTCCTTTACAAACAGTAGAAAGAATATTTGGAAGTGACTGGCTAGGGAAGGGCAAAGACTTAGGATTTGGCGTGGAGAAAATCTAATCGGTTGAGAAATAGAATCGCATCTGCCACAATGGCCCTTATTAGCATCATTTATTGAACTGGATGCACCGGGCATGCTGAATGAGAAGGAAAGGCCACTGATGATGCCTCTCACCATTTGATTTCGGTGGCTAGAAGGATAGTGGTTGCACTGGAATGCAGAAAGAGGAAAAATGGGGGCTGGCACTCTGGTACAGCAGGTTAACGCCCTGGCCTGAGGCGCCGGCATCCCATGTAGGTGCCAGTTCTAGTCCCGGCTGCTCCTCTTCCAATCCAGCTCTTTGCTGTGGCCTGGGAAAGCAGTGGAAGATGGCCCAAGACCTTGGGTCCCTGCACCCGCATGGGAGACCCGGAGGAATCTCCTGGCTCCTTGTTTTGGATCGGCTCAGCTCCGGCTGTTGCGATCATCTGGGGAGTGAACCATCGGGCGGAAGACCTCTCTCTCTCTCTCTCTCTGCCTCTTCTCTCTCTGTGTAACTCTTTTAAATAAATAAATAAATCTAAAAAAAAAGAGGAAAAATGTAGGGGAGGTGTAGGTTGGGAAGACATCTTGGGCATATGGGGCTTTAAGGATCTTGCTGGAAATTCAGATGGAAATTTGTTAGTAGGCAATTGATATGCATGTTTGAATCTCTGTGGAGATTAGTGTTTGAAATTATTTTGTATTTTAAATGTTTGTTGAGGTCATGAATTTGGACAAGATTATACATGAAAAGCATATACTAATGTGAAAATAAAGGTCTTTGGAATACCAGCACTTAAGGTGCTCCTTGTTCATATCATTCTGGAATTTAGACACTTAGAACACAGTCTCTTCATGAACATAATCTAATCTCCAGGAAAGCCTCCACTAGGAGGTGTCACCACTTTCATTTATTTCTTTCTCTCTCTTTTATTAGGAGTATTATACATTAAGTTGGGTCTTCCGCTGTGCAAATTTTATATTGTTTAGGGAAGACTTACACTTCTTTGACAGTAGCTGTTACAAAATTCCATAAGATGATCACACCATTTACAGTTCCAACAGCTATCAAATTATATCCTTCTACTTGTAACAAATTAACACAGTTGACTTCAGTACTAATGGCAGGGTTCTGAAGAAAGAAGAGAGTAGACAATGAGTGTCATGAGTACATTGTCTAATGACAGTACAGGTGCTGGGTCCACACTTTGTAATTTTCATTAAGTTGAAAATGTATTATTATGATGTTTTAAACACTAGAGCATGGAAATTGAGTAAAATCTATTTTTCCTTGTCATTAAAACATTTTAACTTTCAGAATGCATTAAAATGAAAATAATCTCTGCTTTCTCTCCAACTTTATTTATTCTTTACCAATCATTAAATTACCTTTATATGTTTTCCTTTTATTCAAACTAATTGAAATAATATTCCTTAAAATATGTTTTATTATTTATTTTGAGAGAGAGAGGGAAAATCTCCTCAGTTAGGGCTGAGTCAGGCCATAGTCAGAATCTGGGAACTCAATCCTGGTCTTCCACAGCAGTGACAAGAACCAGTTTCTTGAGCTATCACCTTTTGACTCCCAAGGTCCATATCAGCAGGAAGCTGGAATTGGGACTGGAACCCAGACATTGTGATATGGGATGCAGGCATCCCACCTGGGATCTTGACTACTATGCGAAATGCCTACCCTGAAAGAATATTCTGTGTTAACTATTCCAACTTCCTGCCTTTTCTTTCCTTAGCAACTAGTTTCTGCTGCATACTACTCTTTGGAAGCTTTTTGTATGTAACATTAAGGACTCCTACTATCAGTTTCTATTTGATAACGTTTCAATTGTCTTGCCTAGGGTATTGGTTGGGTGTATAGTATGTTAAGTTCTTGGAAAATAAAGTCAAATAGGATATATGTGAATCAAGAAACTTTTTATAATTTAAAGATTCATATAGATGGTTAATTGCTGTATAATTTGAAAGTGCTATATCAAAGTCATGTAAAACACTTGATGGGAACATGGGAGAGGGACATCTATGCAAGTAAGATTAGAGGTCAGCCCCATTGCTGCTCTCAGTGATCCTTGCCCTCCTGAAACTCCCTCCTCTTCTGACATTCTTGACACCAGGCTCTCCTGGTTTTATTTATATCTCTATTATCCTTCCTTTGCTGCTTCCTGCTTGGTAATTTCTTATTCTGCCAACTTTTTAAATATTAATATCATTAGGCTTGAATTCCCCCTTATTTTTTTTCCAACTTTTTCTGGGCAACCTCATTCTCTTATGTTTTAGTAATAATGATCTCAGTGTTAATGGCCTAATAACATTCCTCCCTTCAGAAGTTTCAGGCTTGAAAATTTAATTAATTCTTAGAAATTTTACAGATAGCTCAAAGCAAATATGTCTAAACCATCATCTCTTGGAAGCATATTCCTGGAGCAGTCCTTGGTTCCTCTTGTAACTTCGTGGCATCATCAATAATCAGTTACAATCAGTTACTGCCACTTCTACCGCCTAAATGCTTGCTGAGAACATTCCTTCCTCACCTCCATGACTACCATGACTCTATATTTTTCAAGGAAAACAGTAGCCTGTTGCCTGAATCTTCCATCTTTTTACTGGTCCATCCAGTCTGTCATTCAGGCAGCATCAAAAGTGAACTACTCACAATGCAAATCTGAGCATGTCATTTAAAGTTAATCTGTGAGGGGCAGATGTCAGGCACAGCTGTTAAAATACCACTTTGGACACCCACATTCCTTATTGGAGTGCCTGGGTTCAAATTGTAGCTCTGCTTCCTTATGCACCTGGTGGATAGCATGTAATAACTCTAGTAGTTGGGTCCTTTCTACCCATAGGGGAGATCCAGATCAAATTCCTAGCTCTTGGCTTTAGCCTGGTCCAGCCTCAGACCCAGCTGTTGTGGGCATTTGGGAAATGACCAGCTGGTGGGAGCTCTCTCTCTTACTCTCTCTCTCTCTCTCTCTCACACACACACACACACACACATGCACAAATAAACAAACATTTTAAAAAATAATAAAGCCCTTCAGTGGATTCCCATTTTTTAATAGGAATCCAAAACTCCTTTGTGAGCATGATCAAGTCCATACCAATTTGTTTCTTTTCATCTTATACCACTCCAAGTATTACTCTGGCTGCACAGAAATATTTGCAGTTATCCTACACAAAACAAGTGATATCTACAAAGGCATAAAAAGGAATGATCTACTAATATTTGCAGGGATGTGGGCAAATCCCACAAGCATTTTGCTGCATGAAAGAAAAACCTTAAGTCTATACCATGTGATTAAACTTTCATGACAATTTAGAGTAGTAAGAAAAAAATCTATGGTGAAAAAATTAGAACAGCAGTTGCCTTTTTGGGGAGACTCAGGTACTGACTAGGCAGGGGCTTCGAGGAACTTTCTGGGTGATGGTAATGTTCTTTATCTTGATGGGGTTTGGGTTGCTCCTCTTCAACCTCAGTGAATAGCACACTTAGATTCTGTTCATTTTATGTCAGTTTTACTATAAACAAAACCATGAACAGTCAACCCTAGTTAATGATGCACAGAGTGAAGTGATTAGGGGTGATATGTATTAATACCTTCAAGTTACTTAGAAATAGATTTTAAAAACAAGTTGGATTAAATGATGGTGATAAGGCAAATATTGCAAAATGTTAATAAAATTTAAGTGGAGGGATAGATGGGTAATCACTGTATAATTCTTCAAACTTTTTTGTGTGTTTGAAAATTTTTATAATGAAATTCTGGGATAGAAAAAGCCATGAACTTTGTACTTCTCAGGAAAGAAGTTTTACATACAAATTCAGAGTCGGTTTAGACTTCCCAGAAGTCTACCCATGGAAGGAAGCCCATGGATCCCAGGACAAAGACCCTGGCTCTGTAACTTCTGAAGAATTATCTTATTTAGTACTTGTCAGAAATTGCTTCCTTTTTCTCTGTTGGAAGAAATAAGGCTGGCTCCTTTCAGTCTACTTATAATTTTGGAATTCAGAGACTATCCTGAAGAAAGTCAGTCTGATTGTACACTTTCTTTTTATAGATTTTTAAAACATCAACCACAAAATAGATGTCTTTAACCGTTCAGTTGATGTCACTGGTGAAGATGAGAAACTTTAAAAAAAAAAAAAGAAACCTATGAAAAAAGAAAGCTGAAATTTTGTTAACCAACATTTAAAAAATCTAAGACTGAAAGTTGCAAAAATGGTGAAATAATAATGACCATAAAAAGTGAACAACCATTTTGTGACCTTTTGACACACTCCAAACTTTCTCTTTTTGTTAAAATCTAGGACAATTTGGAAGACTTAGCTATTTTTTGGGAGATGAGTTATTTTATCTACATAGATAGATGGGCTATTTTTAGAGGGACAATGGACTCCTTGTGGGAAGCCTGGAGAACTTTTGTGATTATTATTTCCAAAATAATAGTGCCTGTTAACCAGAAACTTCATCTGCACTTAGCCTCCCAGATGTTAGTATTGCCATGGCTGAAATGATTTTAACTAAAAATAAAACACTGATAGATAACTGAAATTAAAGTTAAATCACAAAAGGCCAATATACCTAATACATTTACCTAATTATATACCCATACATGTATATTTGTGTATACATATGTATACGTTTCCTAATATAACTGATATAGAAAAAGCTTTTAAAGCATTTAAAGATAAAGAACACCTAGATAAAAAAGAGAAAAAAGATACACATATTAAAAAATGCTCTGCTAACTTATTACAAGAGAATTGCAAATTAAAATTTACCAAATTATGATTTTGTACTCATAAATCTAAAAGCGTGACAATATAAAGTTTTGGCAAGGCCGTGAGGAAGTACTTATCCTCATGTTGTTAGTAAAAGTGCAGAATTGTTCAACTGTAGAATTTTGCAATATTTAGGAAGATTATATTAGCATTTACTTTTTGACTCTCAGTTCCTCTTTTAGGAATCTATCCCAAAGATACAGTGTTAACAATTTTTTAAAAAAATATGACTATGAATCTATGCATGAACACATATATAATGCTATATTTGTTGCAGCATTATGTTTAATTGGAAAAAGTAAGAATTACTCCAAATGTCTACCCACAGGGGACTAGTTGAATAAACTATGGTACATCCATTCAGATGATGTTATAGAGCTTTCAAAAAATAGATGAATGTTTATAACCATGTCCACAGAAGTATTATTCTCAGTAACCAAGAAGCAAAAAAGCAACCCAAGCGCTGATCAATGGATGAATAAAGTAATGTATGGTATATACATAGAATAGAATATGTAGCATTCAGCCTTAAAAAGAAAGGAAATTCTGATACATGTTACAACATGGTTAAACTTTGAGGATTTTATGTTAAGTGAAACAATCCTGTATATTTTTGCTTAAATGTGGTACCTAGTGTAGGTTAATTCATAGATACAGAAAATAGAATGGTGGTTTCCAGGGGCTAGAAAAGAAGAACAGTAGGGAAATTATTGCATATCAGGTATAGAGTTTCAAGTATTTCTGGGGATGGACACTCCTATGTGAATATGCTTAATGCCACCAATTGTACATCTAAAAATGTTTAAGATGGCAAAATTTACATTATATATATTTGACCACATCCTTTTTAAAGGATGAATATTTCTAAATATTGCTTTATAATGATCTTCAGAATATATTATTAAATAAAACAAGTAAAAATAAAATAATAGACATAAGGATACTTTTAAAAGTTCATGAAAAACTGGAGTTAAAATTTATTTTGTTACAAAGTATTTTGAATGTAATATACACTTGCCAATAATGTTTGAAGATGTGTTGTATAGTTTTCTATCATTAGCTTAAAGAAAGGTGAGAAGCAACCAAATATAGAAAAGCATTTGATTATATTTTAAAAAAAAAAAAACATTAGAGACAAGTCAAAAACCTAAAAATGAAAGGTTAACTACTTAGTTTAGGAAGAGAACAAGAGGGAAAGACAGGAATAGAAGCTAAACTAGGCGGAGCCAAGATGGCGGAATAGTGAGGGCGCGCACCGATAGTCCGGGAAAATTTAGTTTAATAAAAGAGGAGTTACGGTAGCCGCAGAAAATAGAACCAAAAAAAATTGCAGGGGAAAC